CACAAACGGCCGTAGCATTCACCGGGACATACGGTGTAAACTACGGTCGGATAGCGGACAATCTCCCAAATCCTTACGCGGTAGCGACTCTCCTTAAATCAGCAAAGATCAAAAACACCCGTATCTACGACGCTGATCACTCAGTCCTCACGGCGTTTCGTAACACCGGGATCGAGATCATCGTTGGCTTAGGCAATGAGTTTCTCAAGGACATTAGCGTTGGAGAAGACCGAGCCATGAATTGGGTTAAAGAAAACGTCGAGCCTTTCATAAGAAGCGGTACTAAAATTACCGGTATCGCGGTGGGAAACGAGATTTTAGGTGGCACTACTATCGAGCTTTGGGAAGTTCTCTTACCCGCGGCCAAGAATGTTTATACCGCTCTTCGCCGTCTCGGGCTTCACACTGTCGTTGAGGTACATTACATTAACCAAACCGGTTTTCAAATTTGTTTTCGGTTGGTAAGAAAGTTGAGATATTTTTATAGCGCGATATGAACGGTTTTGAAAACAATGGTTTGTACTAGGTGTCGAGTCCACATTCGGAGGCGGTGTTTGCGAACTCGTATCCACCTTCGTCATGCACGTTCAGGGACGATGTGGCGCCGTTTATGAAGCCGTTGTTAGCGTTTTTTGCGCAAATAGGGTCGCCATTCTACATTAATGCGTACCCTTTTCTAGCCTATAAATCCGATCCGAGTCACATTGACCTCAATTACGCCATCTTCGAGCACACCAATGGCATTTACGACGACAAAACTAAGCTTCATTATGATAACATGTTTGATGCCATGGTCGACGCTTCTTATGCTGCTCTCGAGAAAGCTGGCTTTCCTAAAGTGCCGGTACGTACTCCTTATCACTATTAAGTTCTTAGGTCCGATTAAATGTATAAAATGTTATAATATACCATATTTTCATATGAGTGACTCAATCTAAATTTTTTTTCATATATCGAACATCTTCTATCTTGAAAGTATATACACTAACATAAAATGTTAACGTAAAGGCAACGCACAAACACAATAAAAACCTTTGACAATTTTTTAGTTTCTGTTTGTATGTTACAATAATGTTTTATTTGTATGTAGAACAAACCACAAAACTTTGGTAAGTTTGTCATAATTTTATTTAGCAAAATTCTAAATCGCGACATGCAAACGGGAAATTAAAATGTGTTTACATTTAAAGTGCACAACAAAACTAAAGATTTAAGCATCAATTGTTTCAACCGAATTTTATCTTTTACATAAAAGAAAAAAACGCCTTTTTGAAATGTAAATTAACATTTTCAGTTTGCAAAACGAAAGAACTTTGAATGAAATGATTAAGCTATGGGTTCATTTACGAAAACTATACAGTAACTACGAATATAAACGCACACGCAAACGCAAACACACCATGCTTGCATGTGAACCTGATTTAATCATTCTATTTTCTGTAGGTGATTGTTTCAGAGACGGGATGGGCATCCAAAGGCGATGCAGACGAAGCCGGAGCGAGTGTGAAGAACGCGAAAACGTATAATCGGAATCTTAGGAAACGACTTAAGAAGAGAAAAGGCACACCGTATAGACCAAACATGGTGGTTAGAGCTTACGTGTTTGCTCTCTTCAACGAGAATCTGAAACCAGGTCCAACTTCCGAGAGAAACTTTGGTCTTTTTAAACCCGACGGTAGTATTGCCTACGACATTGGCTTCACCGGACTCAAGTACTCTTCTGCCACACGGTGTCGTTTAGGCTCGTCCTTGCACGCTCTTGTTTCGGCTTCTCTTGTTATGTTTCTTCTTCTTCACCGTTTTTAACTCATGTAAGTTGTTACAAGGATTTCAAATTTGACCCTTTGGTCTATCGAGATGTACTAACTAACAATTAACCCCGTAATTCTTGACTTGTTTGTGATTTAATCACTTTAAAGTGTTCATATTATAACAACTCTTCTTCTTTAAGTTTTGTTGCATTTGCTTATTTTGGAATGATACATAGTATACTAGTATTGTGTTAGTGATTTGAAAATGATCGATTTTCTACATTGTTGTCTCTATCATTCCTACGAATATTTTAAATTGTGTATTTAAGACAACATGAAATTTTTGATTACGCTAACGAATCAAATCTGTCAAGTGGAGCAAGTAGTCAAGATATAATTTCATCTCTTTATTAGATTCCCAATTAATTTTCTATGAAATCGTATTCGGCCACCTCTTATTTATGTATTAATATTCCTACGCACTCTCTGATCTTGTATCAACTAACACCTTAAACAAAATTACACCTATAAAAATTTCCACTTGGCATTGAACATGTGTACACTACACGTTACATCTCATTTATATAAGTAAAAAATTAGTACCTCGAGAGAAATATATTGAAACTAACACCATAGATACTCCCAAACAAACGGATACTAATATATAGTCTAATAATATTTGTATAAGTTATGAGTATAAATTATTCTCATCTCATTTATGTAGTAAAAAAATTAGTACTTCGAGAGAAATATATTGAGTTATAAATCATATAGATACTCCCAAAAAAACGGATACTATGGTATACGTTATGAGTTATAAATTATTCTTTACAGTATACGTTTAATCTAGTCAACTTACGTAATTTCAAAATATTATCTAACATCGTGTATCCACGAGTATAAAATAGGAAATAATTATGTAACATCATCAACAATATGAACATAAAAAGTCAATAATTATGTAACGTAGCAACTTTTATGTTTTACACAACAACAACGATAACAAACAGCCTCAAAAACATATTTGTCCAAAACACAAAGATTAGATTCGTCAATCTGAATTTTGACCATTTT